GACAAGTAGCTGAGTCCCTCTGAGGGCATCCTACGTCCATCTTGGTCCTTCAGAGATGGCGCATCGCGCTTTCGTCTTTCGTCCACATGTGTCTCCCTTGTACAAAGCTTCCAGCTTCACAGCCCCTCGCCAGCCATGCCATGCCCATGCAGGGAAACAACGACGTCACTTGTGATCTGCTTCGGTGAAATGGTGTTTCGTGGTCTTCGGCCATGCTGCCTCGGAGTGACCGCCATTTCTCCTTCCAGACGCCACAACCACACTTTGCCCCGAGCGACGACTTCGACTACGGATCGTCGGCGCAAAATCATCCCAACCACTACCTCGACTCCATTTTGGCGAATCGTCCTCTTGTGCCATGCCAACCTTTGTGCACTCGCACTAGCCACTCAAATTTGCAGTTTATGGCATGGCCACGACAGGAGGTGCCCTTACAGTTCCTTGTGGAGCGTGGGGTCATTGGTGGCTTGATCCCAGTGGCTTCCAATTCTCTTAATGCTTCACCTGTGCTAGGAGCGTCGGGATCAACCCGAGCATAGAGTGTTGGCATGCTCAACGGCGTCAACTCCGCTTGTTGTGTCATGCTTCCACGAGAAATGGACAAAAAAATTGTGGAACGGAGAGTTAGTTTGCCGTGACAATGAGCTAGCCTTTCTCATGGGCGTCGGATCCATGTCTCGTGGAGAGCCGATCTGTCATGATGGCAAACTTGCATTTCTCGTAGGCACGAGATTTGTGCAGCCCAGGGAGCTGACGGGCTTCTAAGTTGTCCGCCTGCATAGGGATGCGCTTCTTCTAGGCGCTACACCTATGCACAACCAACAGAGTTGATGGGATTCGATGATGGTTGCCTCCACGGGCGTCCGCTTCTTGCGGGCACCGGATCCGTGCAAAGTACGATGTCGATTGGCTTCAACATTGGTCTCCATGGGCATACACTTCTTGGAGGCCCCAGATTTGTGTCGTGCAGACAACCTACGAGCCTCCTTACTAGCAGAACATGGGTTGGCGATGACAAATGAGCCCATGGCGCGCCGCCTGAATAAGATTGTTAGTCGTGGAAAGACATCCTCGCAGGTATCCACTACGAACTTCATCCATCGTGTCTCATCTGCTCAGAGGCAAGTGCGACACATGCTGAACACAACATTTTTGCTTCATTTTTGTGTTCGGTGTAGCCGCTCGTGGTTATGAGGGGCAAGGTGATGCAAATCAGGAGCTGCCTGACTGGACCAGTCAGCGAAGGATATGAATCTTGCTGGTTGACGCCTATCTTTTGTCAGCCAGCGTGAAGAAAAAAAATCTTAGATGTGTCTTTACTCTATTGGAGTATTATTTTAAATAAATGGTCACTAGAACAACATCATGTTTTACTGTAATTTATTGCTATATCAATATGTAAGGTGGTCTTAATTTTATTAATTTGATGTTCCTTGGTGAAATGTGATTATATATATACCTTTTAATTTTTCTTTCGAGTAGAATTATGTCATTTACCTTGAATGGATAAGGGGTCAAAGTTGGGCATCTTTTACCCTAAGGTTGTCTAGGAGCTTATGTCTAATGGTGATAGTTCAGATGATAATAGTGAAGATGCAGAATTAGAACATCACATTATTCAGTTAGCTTCCCTTGGTCTCGTGGTAAATTTCGACATTACTCATGATGGGGGGTCGCACTAGCTGGTAACCTAGATGTGATGCACAAGAGACAAAGTTTACCCATGTTAGGGCCCTCACCAGCAAGGTACACCATACCCTTGCTTGGATGTATAATATGGATCTAGTCCTGTATAAGCACGAGGATTTGGACATTTGTTGTACAAAGGTTGCTGACCGTAGGGATCGCGTAGGTCAAGATGTGTCTGAGAGCCGCCGTGAGTTCTTGCCTTGCCTAATCCCATTGTTAGAACCTTGCACAAAATGAAGCCTTCTCAGGGCACTTGCATTCTGGACCGTTTGAGTGCGTGCCCAAAATACTTTCAGCCGTTCGATTTCTTGATGAGATGATCATGACCGTTGGATCAAAGCTGATGTGACAATCAGTGAAGTGCTCTTTTATGGTACCCACAAGTAAATATGAGCCATCCATTTAGTCTAATATGATGGATACAATTTTTTTGACTCCAATATGGATACCTGGGAGTACCACAGCCAAAAGTTGAGGAGTACCTTGATTTCAAGGGTAAATTGGTAATTAACGTGATATTATGTGATGGTGGTATTTAATTCCCCACTAATTACGGGATGTGATCAACATCCATAGCGGACCAGCGGGAGATCTCGGCCAGGAATCACACGTAGAGATGCATCAGGAAGATTTGTTGGCATCTTCAAACTATGAAGGAGAGATGCACAAAACCCTAATTTAATAATTGCAACTGCAAGATCAAAGAACTCCAACGATTCAACTGGCTGACGGCTTGCAAGTACTCAGATAAGGCATGCATCCAAGAGGCCTCGCCGGCGACTAAAGTTACTGGAGGCGGCAGCAGATGCATGCAATGGTCCTGCAGGGAGGACATGGCCATGGCTATGCACGGTCACTTGATCAGGGAGGCGGCGGCAACTGCTGGAGCAGCCCATCGGCGGGGAATTAGATCCAAAAATAAATAAACATTAGCCAAACTACCCTTTTAAACCAAGGGCTGGATTTAACCAGTACTCCCACACCTACCTAAGGAGTACCAGGGTACCGTAAAAAAACCTCGGTGAATTTATGCCTTATCTAGCTGTAGTCAGTGGGGCTGCTTCTGTCAGCGACCGCGGAAGTGGGTGTGGCTGGTGCTGGCTATAGTGTGCGCAGAGGGTGTGCCACCGCTTGTAGTTTTCGGTGGCCGCCGAGGGTAGTTCAGGAATTTCACTTCTTTGGCCTTGTGGGCGTGCCGTGGATGGCTAGGGGATGAATAGGGGTGAGGAGGGTGAATGATTGGTGAGAACCTTAGCTGCCATCCTTGTCGTATGCCTTATCTATGCTTGTTCTGGTTGCAGTCCTGTGGATCAAGGTGTTGTTCTCGAGTGCTAGAGTAATTTGCTTATCCTGTCGGCTCCCAGCTTCCAGGTTCTAATTATATGTGGTTCCAGTCCTGTGGATCAACATGTTGTTCTTGGGTGCTGGATTAATTTGGTTATCCTATCGGCTCCCAGCTTCCATTATATGAGGACTTGGTGCTTTACTGTCGGTTGTTTTGTTCGGTTCTCTTGTTTTCTGATTCTTTGCTTCATTTGTTCCGCATGTTGATATGCTTGTCCTTGTTAGTTTGCCTCGCCTGTGGCTCTGGGGTTTCTTGTTCTTCTTTGATTATGATGTTTGTTGGCTGATTCTATTCCATCTTGTTTTTTCAGGACTCTATGCTGTTGGTTGGTCTGTGCTATTCTTCTTTTATCGTCTATAGGTGGGACATGCTCTTTACCCTGCATTTTCGTATCTATATACCTGTGTCCTAATCCTTTTTCGGCTGTCGGTTTTCCATTCCGGGTCTATAAATTCCTTCTATTGGATGCTTTGGTGGACACAAAAGCTTAACACATGTTACATTGTGCTATTTGCTGAGGTAGATGTTTGACTCCTTTCGTGTGTCATATAGAACATCCATATGAGATAAAGCAAAAAGGCAGAGACCAAATATAAGAGCTGAGGGATATGTGGAAGAGGGAGGGGATGAGCTTGAGGCTTATGAGCCAATCAAATAATCGAACGTGCATGGTTTCTTGAATTTTCAATTGTTGAATCTGTCAACCTGAAGATTTTTTTTTTCTTATTTGCGGCAAACTCCAGGGTAAAATATAAAACAGAATCTGTCACCTGAAGGCATTTTGTCGAAGCCTTGCTCAGAGGTTGGGTGAGTTGATTTATCTGATCTGTATACTGATGGATGCCAATAAATAAGCTTGATCTATGAATAGTTTAGTCGCCAGTAGATGAGCTGATGAACCAATAGCATGTAGTAATGGTAGGTATGATTTTGTTCTAAGTTGTGGTTACATAATGACATATCTAGGATGGACCTTTAGCTACTGAGGCCTGAATATAGAAAGTTGATAAAAAGAATCTCATTTTATTTGGATTTTTTTAAACTGCAGCCCATAAGTAGCACTATTAATTGCTCTGTTATCATTTGCTAGAATTTCTTGCTTTTGAAAGGAATTTAGAAGGATCTTAAGAATAGTACATTCAGTTATTTCATATTTGTCTTGATGTTCCTTACCAAAGCAGCAACCTTATATTGCTATTTCATGCCGTGCTCTTCTTAATTTCTTATCAATGAGAAGACAGCTCAAAAGAATGTCTCTTGTGAGTTATTACATGAACCTCTATGAAACAGCAAGCTTTCAGTATCCTAGGATTTTGCTACCAATCATTGTTTTTTTGGGTGACAAACCAATCATTGAGTCTTACTTAAATGCTTGCATGATATTATTCGTTCACCATATTGCACTTGGTGAGACCATTTATCATGAATCTATATTTTTCCATCTTCAGAGCGCGCCTTCATTTGTTAAAAAAAGTCAGTATGGGTAAATATTAGTTTCACTTTGCATAGTAGTATAACCAGGTCTGTTGAACTCTACATTTTCTGCATGTTATCATGTTTTTGTTTGAAAGCAAGCTAATTGGACAGCGGTGTTTATTTGCATGAATGCCTTGCCATTTTGCTGGAAGTTACTTGATGCATGAGGTGCTCTTTATAATTTGTATGTGAGAGAGGATTAGTTTGTCAAGCTTTCTATTGATAAAACCATTTCATTAGTTTTTTTTGGGGGGGGGGGGGGTTACAGTCAGTCTATATTGGATGAAAGACATAGTTCGTGTGAATCATGACTTTCCCTGCATTTACCTAATTTCGCTCAAAAAAAGTTCCAGTTAGCTATAAGGATTCTTTAGAAAAAATTCTCAGGGACTATTGAATCAGGGGCGAAGACTCAAATGTGTAGTGATTCTTTAGACAAAAGCCGAAAAGGGTCTGATTATTGTGTCTGTTCAGTGTCCACCATCCACAAATGGCTCTATTTAAATTGGAGTATGTAGTTCATTTTAGCCGATGAACTTGCTGGATCACCTCCATTGCAGGAGTTTAGCTGATATGTATTGTATGCAGATGATTATGAGCAAGATGCAAGGACACAAAAAGCCTGGGATGCAGAAAGGTTAGAGGCGAGCTGCCGCTAGCGCACGGTGGCGTGCTGCATCTCCCGTCGGTGCTTGCCACAGGAGAACTACATCCCTGGCCTATTCTTCTATGCCTCAGCTGCTGCCTCTCCAAGCAATGCCAAACCTATAGGCTATAACAGGTTCAGGAGGTGTTTATCCAATGATTCAGTAACTTAACATTCTAATTTACTTGTCTTTTGCTCATGAGGCATGGTGTCTTTAGGTTATTGAAGGGGATTGTGTATGGATGCCGACATTCAGACTGGTCAGCTAAGAGGTTAGAATTACCCAAATTTCCTCTTATTTATAATAGTATAATACTGCAGTGGTAGCCTGTCCTGCTATTTTCTTGTCCAAAAAAGTGTGATACTAACATTTTCACTACAGTTTTATCTTACTGTTAGAAAAACAGATGATTCCTATACTATACAACTTTACTGCATGCATACCTGATCCTCTGTTTCCTCTGTTCTCTTGGTTGGCTTTGCAGACCAGGACACACAAATCTGGAGAGGTCCTTGGTCATCAGCTGGTCCATCATGGGGTATGTAACTTCACTGAGATCATGCATGCTCCTTATAAGCTGGGGATATAAGTTCTTAGGATTAACTGTATCATCTAGCCGCGAGACGCCGCTTTTACTATTAGAATAACTTAAAATCTTCTCTTCAAATAATGCAATGCAAGGATGATTTTGACATATAGATGTTGATGTCCCAAGCTGAATTTCAAGATACTCATGGCAGCAATTTCCCACAAAAGTGGTGTGGGTTAATTCGCTATACTGTTAGAATTACGCGAGGTAGGCGTGTATCATTGGGGTGGTACTGAGTCAACTAAGAGTCAGAAGCGCTAATATGTGTGCATTACCTACTGTTGTATATTTTTCAATCATGCACTATGTTCTCTTAATGATTAATTGTGGATGAAATGGATGAGGGCAATAATGCTCATGTGCTTATCCTGAATGGATGAACAGAACTCTAGAAACTTGAATGGAAAGAACCTTTAAAGCAGGGGATTACTGAGAAATTATGTTGCATATTGTTGTTGTATGTCCTATTGGTTGCCAAAGTGATGGCATGTGGTCCATGGTCTCTTAAAATGCGCTTATCCTAATTATCTCATCACTTGATTGACATGAACAAATGGTAAATTCTGTAGCTTTGTATAACGGTGGTGCAGGGCCGCAGGCCAAAATTGAGCATGTTAATGTTGGGATTTACATCCTTGGTCCTCATGGTGCTGCCGCTGAAGTAGATCATATGCATTTTACTGAAGTGGGAGTACTGCCAGTTCTCCACTCAGCGTAATATCCCTGTGATATACTCCCACTTCATTACGCTGAGGCCTTATTCGGTTGAGGTGGTTTTTGAAGGGGAATGGCAAGGTTTGAGGGGGATTAGATCCCCTACAAGCCAAAATCCTCTCCAATCCTCTTGGGAGGAGGATTAAACGAACAAGGCCTGAGTGATGTACTGCCACACAAGGAAAAACATGATTCTTCTGTCCTGAGACTGGGTGGTTGTATTCAGAGAACCGCACCTATTTTCTTATTATGCTTGCCTTGAATGGTATATACTTCAATTCCACGTGCCTAAGAAAATTAAGTTGACCAAACCCAGGTAACTGATTCTGGAACAGTGGAAGTTAGTAACTGGGACTTATAAACACATTATCACCTCTTGCTTAGGTAAGTACTCTACTCAAAGGAGGTGTTTGTTTCAGAACTTTGTAACGTAATCCATCAACAGCGCTATCAGATGACGCTGAATCTTGTTTGGTTAGTTTGGGCTGTAATCACATACCACGGTATCAATTACCGATCTGATTCTGATTAAAATCGTGTGTTAACAGAAACCAGACCGACCCTCTCGCGGCTATCCTAAAACTGTTACCACGTCTTCCCTGTGCAGCCCCATGGAGTTCTGCGGCGGTTTGGCGTTGTGGCTGACAAGGCCACGGTCGCCGGTGGAGACTGGAGCATGCTGGTATAGCGTCCGGTGCCGACGATCACGATTGTGTCGCTGACGAGCGTGGGTGAGGACCTGTAGGCCGGGTACACCGGTGAGGAGGAAGGAGAGCGGCTGACGCCGGTGCGCGCCACCACGCCCACACAGCCAGCCTCGGCTGCGGGCTTCAACAGCACATCATCCAGCTGAACGAGGTCGGATTTCTCGTTGCCATTGTCGGCGGTGGCGAGGCAGAGGCGGCGCTTGAGGGTGGGGGCTGGGACGGCAAGGCCGAGGGGAGGGGATGGCGAGGATCTTGGAGACGAGGCGGTTGATGTGCTGGCCGGGAGCTCAGGTCGGCGGCGTTAAAGGCGCTAATGTCGCCGATGTGGATGAACGGAGGGCCTGATTACGTTACAGTTGATTATAGAGTAACTATTCCCTTAACAGTAACGGTGTAACTCGATTGCGTTTGCGGTACCTTCCGTGAACCAACCACCTCAGTCGTGCGTATGCTCCTTAATCTGTGCGTCTTTCTAGAGAAGACATCTTGTCATTTGTCAACGCGTTGCCTCGGAGTCGGCAGCTTGCTAGCAGGGCACGCACACGCAGCGTCGCAAAATTTAAAATAATCTAATCAGCCGGTGATGATGCCGAGATAACACACACACGGGCGCGACAGGAGGCCTCCTGGGTCAGCTGCCAACCCGGTGCGACGCGCGGGCGAGAACAGAAAACGGTGCCCCAAGCCCCCAATGTAAAAAACTTTCGTGTTTTGACCTTTTCGTATAGTTTAACATTTGATCCTTTTTCTTACCGCCACACATCATGATGGTAAGTATGCATAGGCTACTGCCAGGAACCGTGGCGGTAGCTGACTAATCCACGTCAGCAGGCAACTGACGGACGCTGTGAGCTCTGCTCGACCCTACCGCCACAAGGTCCGGTGGTAAGATGTGAGACCCTATCGCCAGACTGTCTGACGGTAGAGTCAGGACACATGTAAGCCTCGCGCCGGTTCGCCCTCCCCCTTCCCATCTCTCCCCCCCTCCCTCCCGCCCTCTCTGTTCTTCCTTTCCTCGTCCCCTC